GGCCCTGTCTGTCTAGCCGAGGGGTGTTGATGCGACCGGCCGACTGATCCGCCGAGGGGATGAGGCAAAAAGCAGCATTGTGGCCAGGTTGACTGGGGAACCAGGCCGACGAGTGAGTCCCTTTGCCTGTGCGATGAAGAGGGCGCAGAATGGGTATAGGCATACGGACAAAAGTGATCAAATAAAACTGTTAACAGGCCGAGCCAAGTACAGTGAAAAACGCGCACGTGGTGTCTACTGCAGAAGTAGACTTTAATTGCTCTAGAAGCCTGGCGGCAGCCAATCGTCTTTCAGCTTGGTCGGGCAGGCCGCATGCTCACCTCTGATTGGCTGGACTGTAATTGGCTGGTTGAACCGTGATGGCGTCTTGAAGCCGGGTCATTTGTGTTGCGCCGCTGCCTCAAGGGTCTTCTTTCTCCGAGACTCCTCATGCCTGTCTCCTCGTCTCCTCGTCTCCTCGTCTCGTCGTATCTTTGTCTCTTTGTCTCTTTGTCCTTTAGTCCTTTAGTCCTTTAGTTCTTTAGTTCTTTAGTTCTTTAGCCCTTTTGTCCTTTTGTCTCTTTGCCTTTTCGCCTTTTCGCCTTTTCGCCTCTTCGCCTCTTCGCCTCTCGCCGTCCAACTCGCCTGACCTAGTTTCGACCACCGCCCATCGCTGACTTCAACGTCGACGTCGACGCCATCCAACTCGTCTTGTGGGCAAAAGTCCGACAGTGAAGAGTCGCGTGCAACGACAACCCATCTCTGCAGAACGTCAGTCGTCAAGCCTCCTTCCGTCCTCGTCTGTTTGCTTTGGCCTATGTGCAAGCAGACAGGCGTACACGACTGTCGTAACTAGGTTCAGCCAGTCTAGACGACAGACAGGCCATGCAAAAAGTCTAAATTACGTCAATATTTTGTCTAGTTAAAGGACATTGCAAAAACGATGGGATTCCAAGACGCTTCTGTACCGAAAATGAGCACTTGTCCTGCAAACAGAGAGACGGCGACGGCGACGGCGACGGCGACGATGACGACAGATGCAGATGGATGGTGCCGAGGCGTGTGAGCCTTTGCGGCACCAGACTTTGTCGGCTTGTCCACGACCCTGTTGGTATGTTGAACTGGCCGTTGAACAGACAGACCGGCGGACATTCGTCCAGTCGCCTGTACCATCAAAACGACGGTCTGGAATGTCCACGTGGCTGAGGCCGCCTGGCTTGGATCCTCCGTCTCCATTTTGCTGGCCTGCAGCCTCGCGGAGAGAAGCTGGTTGTCGGGGCATCCATGTTCATTTCGAGGCGATGGCGTGTTGGAGACGAGGACTCACAATCCAACCTTGTCTTCTTCGAGACGGTGTTCTTTCGGCTTCCCAGGAGGCCAGTCTGCGAGGCTCGAGCGGCCAAGTTTCACTGCGAAGCGAAAAGTCGACTCGTCTGTTGTTGGTGTGTCTTGTAGTTTGACTCGAAGGGACGGCCCCACTGGAAGTCGCAGTTGTGCTCGTGGATTGGCTCGAGAAGCCATCTGCTCTCTCGTCGATACCGCCGCGAAAGACTCAACTCAACGGGACTTTATG